TCAAATGGTTCATATGAGTTCATAATGTTGATGTGGGTCAAATTTTATGAGGTTTGACTGTCAATTGGCCACATTTGACTTTTTCCCCAATACAGCTGATTTCTAGGTCAACTGTCCAATTGATTGGGCAAGAATTTGAATCAAGGCTTGAAACTTGGTATGGACAAACTTGTGAGTCCAACATGAAGTATGAAAGTCACTTTGGGCATTTTAGGTCAAAACATCCTTGTGCAAACTCAAACCCTAATTTAGGTCAACAGTGCAAGAGGTGTCTTGAGCAGAGCAAACCCTAGCTTGATCTTGAGTTCCAAGAGTCTTGTGATGAGAAAATATTGATGAAATGAGAGAGCAAATTTTGGGGTACAACACCAGAATATGTTCAAATGTGGCGTTTAGCCAAAGTAAAACCAGCCAGAAAGGTCCAACGAGTAAGTAGCTGGTGTTGGGTTTCAAGCTTTTCATGCTCAACACACCTTCTTCTATTGATTCGTATAACAAACCTAGAATCAATAGGCTCCAGCAAATATTTGACCCTCATGCAGCTGATTGGCTAAAGCAATGAATCTCTTGGCTACTTTCAAAGACCTACATCAGAAGACACATCTCGACATCCATAATGACAGGAAAATAATATGCTTTGTGTCGGATACTTTGTCAGTTATTTTGTTGCAGTAACGTTCCATATATTTGGTAAAGCTGACATGATCCTTGTCAAAATTAATAGTTTTCTCATAATTGTCTGTTGGGTAGAAAATTTCATGTGTTTGACGAAGGGCAATAATGGCCTATGTCGAAAAGGGTCGGGGTAAACATTCCACAAGAGAATTGGAAAGTGTTACTCGAGATCTCCTAGAAGTAGAGGGAAGCGACCACCATGTTTGAGCAGTAAGGGGGACCAACCCTCAATAACTGGATTAGGTCATAGATTCCCATATCTTTCCAGATTTGGCTTTTTTCTTTTTCAACTATATCTAACCAAGAGACATAGTTGGAATTAACTAAAGGAGCGATACGAAAAACCTTAAAACTGTGAAATAAAAAAGCTAAGCCTATGGGTTTCTGTTCGCTAACTTTAGGTTTAGTGTGATGGTACACATGAATGAATTCTTTGGATTTCTTATGGTTTTTGGATTTCAAATATGAAGCCATTGTTGAAGTTGAGGAGTCTGAAGTTGGAAATTTTTTGGAGATTTTTTTTGAGCTTACAAGTTCTAAAAACAAAGGAACGAAAAAGATGAATTAGAAGAGGTTATTTATAACCAAAAGGAAAAACCTTTCAGTTTTTTTTTGCAAATCCGACAATTGGCGCCAAATTGTAAGGCACATGGTGAACACATGTTTAGTGGAACGGAGAAGCCTGGCTTTGTGAGCCACCTTATCCTAGGAAGTTAGAACTAGGATGTAGGGTAGTGGTGGTTGCACGTCTTTAAAGTGACGGTTGATGGGAACGCCACGATGATAATGACATCAACGCACTACATCAAATAGTGTAAAAGGCAAGTCAAAAATGTCTCCATCTCCCTCCAATCAAAAGAGATATTTTGGGGGACAATTTATTAGAAGAGATTCTCGACAAGTCTCAAATTCTAGCTAAGATAAGAGTAAGACGAGGGAACCTTGGACGAAGTTTTCTGGGTAATGTATAAGATCATGGTCGACTCAACATTTATGTGGATGACAGTTCGACAAATAGACAGTGAACTAAGCTGCTGAAAGCTAGCCCGGAGAAAGAGTTGTGGACTTAGGACTTTTCTAAATAATAAGTATAAATATTTTGACCAAAGCAGCTATTTTGACCAAGGCAGCTGAAGTACATAAATGTGGTTGAATAAACACCTTTTAGCCTTATTCGCGTTAAAAGGATGCATGGAAGTGATTTTCGAAGCAAGAAGACATGTAACGAAGAACGTGGCGTTAGGGGAGCAAAGCCCGCCTTTAGCAGTAATTTACATTTTAGTATAAGTTATAGTTTTTATGATAGAACTAGGGGTGTCAAATTTACTACTAAAACACACAAAAACTAAGAGCACCAAACGAAGAGTGAAATGAGTTCCAAGAGTGTAATGTACGTTTGAACACCATTTTACATTTATGCAAGGCTTTTCTTTCAATTTTACATTACGATTTTGTGTTCTTCACTGTCTAACTCTTTATATTTTCAGTCAAAGTTTCCCTTTTACTTGCTTTCAATTTCACAACGTGATTGCGGTTACTGTCAAAATCACTCACATTATTATTACCTTTACATTATTTGAAAAACTTCACGCACATTGTTTCGAGACTCCTTAGTTGGTATCGCGAGTAACCTTTAATAAGAGACTAGTGATGTTCACCAAATTTCAGAGTAAACATGTTTATAGATTACAAGTGAGTAACAACAATCAATCTCTCTCAACAACCTGAGAAAACTAATCTATTTATAGACTACCAAACTAACTTAGGCTACTAGCTAACTTAAACAATTAGGCTTAAACACATGCCCAATTCAACATGCTAATAAACCTAGCATCATCAACTATTGCATGCTAGAATATAATTTGACTACAACATACACGACTTCGACATCAACATGTGAACAGACTTCTACAATATGCTCAAACTCGGTCGAACCAAGAAACCTATCCCTGTCGAGATACTAGAGTTCGATCTAAAATCTCACATATTACTTAAACCAGAATCAAACAATTTGATTTATGCATTGCGTAAAAATGGATTTGTAACACAACCTTAATGTGCATAGTCGTGTGAGAATGATAATATAAACTAAACCAAAATCTAAAAGGCAGGAAATCAAAACATAAGGAGGCAGAGGCGATGAAACTTAAGTCTTCGCCTTTTTTATGCTTGACAAGCTTGTAATTGAAATTGAGTTGACATTAAGCAGAAGCAAAGTGTGATAAATGCTTTCTTTCACTTGCTTGTGCTCCCCGTGAAACATTGTACAAAAGCATGAACGTCATAATCTAGACTCACATACATCAAATCTAGACTCACATTACAACTTCTCTAGTTTTGATAAGATCAAAAAGATATAAATGCTAATGAATCTAAATGCAAAATAACCAACAACACAAATAATAGTATAGAGAAACTAAAAAGAGCTAAACATATCTGAAAATGATATACAAAAATAAGGACAAATTCCATATATACGAAGATAATTATGTCAAATATAAAAAATATGAGCAATATGATATGAGATTACACAACAACACAGTTACATAATCAAAATATACATGAGTGAAATATTAATACATGAACAAAACAAAAAAATATTTAAAATGATCAATATAGTTGATTTAAATGTAACCTACTATAAATAAATGTTAATATACGACATAATACAAATAAAATGAAAAAATAAGTCGTTGATATTTATAAATAAATAAATTTTTAAAAAAAAACTAACCTTATTAATTAAAGTTGTTAAGTCTCTTAAAAAAAATTTAGAGTCAAAACTAAGATTAATTTAGTAATTATCAATATTAATTTATTTTAATTTTAATTTAAGAAATAATATGAAATTATAAAATCAACCTCCATTTTGGCATAACTTAATCCTATTCAATCCATAAAATGTGAGATATTCAATCTATAAAACGTGGGATATGCAAAACAACACATCACAAATAAAGAGAATCAATATAAAAAAAATAGAGAGAAATAATGTAAAAAAAGAAGTGTATATATATATATATATATATATATATATATATATATATATATATATATATATATATATATATATATATATATATATATATATATATATATATATATATATATATATATATATATATATATATATATATATATATATATATATGGAAAATAATTATTAATAAATAATTTGAAAATCATTTTTTGAATTACCATTTTGCCATACATGTTCTATTTAATTTTTTGTATTTTTATATTTAATAATATTTGTTATTATGTTTTTTTAAGGTATAAATTTTAAATTATCCTAAACATATATATTTTCTTAATAAAATTCTTCTTTTATTTTTGAATTTTATTTTATACTTATATTTTACTTTTGTTTTTGTTTTTTTATGGTATGATCATGTCATGAATGAAAGATTATATAAACACTATTTTAAATTTTATATAATAAATTTTTCGATAGGATCTCCAAAACTTAAAAATAAAGTATATAATTTAAAGTTTTAAAATATTTTTAGAAAACAAATTCTTTTATTTTAAAAAAAGAAAAAATATAAATTAACTTTTATGTATAAGACAACATAAGAAGAAAAAAAAAAGATAAGTTCAATTGAATCGATATTAATGATAAGAGTTATGTTGACAAGTCTTTAAAATGATAATTCTTCCACAAAAAAAATCTCCAAAACTAAGCAACTAAGTATACGAGTTAAAGTTTTAAATTATTTTAATAATAGTACATGTATAAATTAAAACATACTCTATAAAATTTATATATTATGACAAGATTTTACTCAATTATTATATAAATAATATTTTATTTCTATCATATAACCATATTTTTCTTTATTTATTCTTTTATATTTATTTCTCTCATATTCAATTCATTAACATCAAAATCATCTCTCAATCAATTAATTTTTAGATATTGATAATGTTATTATTGTTAATTTTATAGTATTAATGATATATTTTATTAATTTTCTATAAATTTTCTCACTAATTTCCAATATAAATTCTCTATATATTCAACACTATTTTTTTAGACATATTATTAAATTTTTCTCTTTTATATTTACTTTTTAATTAATAAATATATTATATTAAATTTTGTTTAAACATCTAATTAATTAATACACATATTATTATAATTTTATAATAAAATCATTAATTTGAATTCCAACCCTAACAAGTGAAGTAAGTAACTACACATCCTTTTTAAAATACTAATCGTAAAAAAAAAGGTAGTGTTTTGAGTGTGAGAGAGTGTGAGCAGAGCAAAGCAAAGAGTGAAGTAAAGAGTGATTGTTGTTGGAAAGCTTTCAGAAAGAGTGATGAAACGGTTTTTCCAAGTAATAGAGAAAGATTCAGAGAAAGGTTTGAAGAAAGCGAAAGAGAATGAAAAAGAAGAAGAGAACGAAAACGAAACGAACAAGGAAGGACCACTGAAGTTCGTGAGTTGGAACGCCAACAGTTTATTCCTTCGCGTGAAGAACAACTGGTCCGAATTCTCCAACTTCATCACCACCTTCGATCCCGATGTCATCGCCATTCAAGAAGTTCGAATGCCCGCCGCTGCTTCCGGTTCCCAATCCAAGTCCGCTCCTAAAAATCAAGGTGAAATTAAAGATGATACTAACTCCGCCAGGGAAGAAAAAAGGGTAATCGCATTTTCATTGAAATGACTTATAATAGTTAGATTGGGGAAATAGCTTATGATTTCAGCTTATTACTTTATTAAAATAACTTATAATAGTTAGATTGGGATTCCTAACGGCATCTCTAGCATGCATTGTGAACAAAACATTATAGTTGCTAAATTCATACAATAATCATATTCCTTATTAATATTTTGTAACTCATATTTGGTCAAACTTACAGATATTGATGCGTGCACTTTCAAATCCACCGTTTGGAAACTATCGTGTTTGGTGGTCTCTTGCAGATTCAAAATATGCAGGGACAGCACTATTTGTGAAAAAATGTTTCAAGCCAAAAACTGTTGTTTTCAATCTTGATAAAATAGGTATTCTACTTTACAGGTTTTTGTTATTCGATTTATGGCATTATATGTTTTATGTATATAGGCATGCAGCTTATATATTTTTTTTAAACATATTTGCGGATTATATTCAATGCTTGGTTTACTGCTAATGGATCCTCTTTCTTGTTTTTGTCTTTAGCTTCAAAACATGAACCAGATGGCCGGGTAATCTTAGTTGAATTTGAAACATTCCGTTTGTTGAATACATATGTACCAAATAATGGGTGGAAAGAGGAGCCAAACTCATTTCAAAGGAGAAGAAAATGGGACAGCAGAATCCTGGAATTTGTTCACCAAAATTCGGACAAGCCTTTGATATGGTGTGGGGATCTGAATGTCAGGTGGCTAATCTCCATTTTTCATCTGCTTTTAGCGCATATCATTAATTAGTCCCATCCTATTTGTTTGGCATCTTACTTTTATTTATTCTTTCTTTTGTCATTTAATGAATTCTAGCTATAAAGTTCTAGATATGAGCTTGCTTAGTTGTTGGACTTGGATGCATCTATTTGTTACTAGCCAGGCATCAAGAAAACAGAAATCCAACAGTTTGAAAGGACCATTAAGATTTATGTTTTATTTCAATTTGATGCAACTAGAAGCATTATATGAAACTAATTCAACGACTCTGCATTGCTTCTTATTAGCTTTTAGACTAGACTTATTTTTACCTGTTTCAAAAGCATTTCTATAGCTGTCGTGATCTTTAAAAACTCTTATAGATGAATAATTTTAGCCTTTAACTCTCATATATCCATCTTCTGCAGCCATGAAGAGATCGATGTGAGTCATCCTGAGTTTTTCATTACAGCAAAACAAAATGGTTATGTTCCTCCAAACAAAGAGGTCTAATCAATTTACTTACTCTTGAAGTTTCCTTTAAAATAGATTCATCTCTTTTATTTATCAGAGGCCAAGAATAGTTTTCTATCTTTATGACTTTAACATGCCCACAGTTGTAATGGATGCAAGGATTTGAAATGTTGAATACTTGACTATAGACACTTTGATATCTTGTCAAGTACCAATTCTCCTAAGCTTAAATTGTTGGGAAGTCCTTGTGTTGCACCTCATCCCATTTTTTTAATAAAAATTGTTAGGTAGAGTAGAGGCTCAAGAAAGGATTTATAACAATTCGGATAAAGTAGTATAATATATCTTCCGCACAGTAATTAAATATCCAATGATATGAATTTATGCAGGATTGTGGGCAGCCTGGATTTACCTTGGCTGAAAGAGCACGATTTGGTACCATCTTAAGAGAGTGAGTCATCCATTACTCTATTTGATTCATTGATTTATAATACTTATAACATCAACATGGCCAAACCTCATATCTTGAACTTGCTATCATGCTTGGATTGGTTAGGTCAAAACTACGAAGGAGGAATTTTTTCTCTGCAGTTTATCTAAAAGAGATGGATTGTCAGGAGAGATTTAATGTTCGTTGTGTTGTAATAAGTTAAGGTTTAGGAAGTGGGTTTTATATATAGCATTTGGCACAAGTTGTAGTAACTGATTTTTAATTAAATTTCATTTTAAAAGTGATTGAAAACAGTCTTGTTCTTTTTCCTATCTGTGTTTGAACTTTGAACCACCTATAGTTAAGAGTTTTGTCCATTGAAATAAATTACTTTTTTTATTTATTTAACTTTTGACATAAACTTTCTCTTGTTGACTTCTTGCTTAATTGAAAGGGGTGATCAATTTTTTGTTTTCTTATAATTATGGATTATTATGACCCCAAGGACACAATGTGATTTCCAATATGATGATTCTAAGTTTAAGCTAGATAGAGAGATCGGGGATTGGTCTTGCAATTGCATGATGGGTAAGAAGAGGTAGCAAGTACCACAGTGCTTAATGGCATCAAATAAAATGGAAATAATCAGAAAAATGGTGACTACATAAAGTATAGGAAGACTAGGAGAGTTTGGACCTTTAGTTTTTGATAGGCCCCTGGAAGTTATAGAATTAATGATGCAGTACCTGTAGAATTAGGTACTTGGTTACATCAGTAAGGGTATGCGTAGCTTAAAAAGTAAGAGGGATCATAGAAGTGAAATTCAGTTTGAATTGCTTTACCTTCGAGGAAATGAACAGTGGCTCAGTTTTGGATGGGGCGTGACCTTTTCCGTAGGAGATTTCTTCTTGGCGGGTTATCATTTGTTCATTAGATATTAATCTTCTGAGGTCTGGGAAAAATTTATAATGTATTTTCTGAGTATTAATTTGCAATTGAAGACAAGGACAACTGAACTAGTAAAAAACAATGTCCTACCATTATTGACTCTTTCTTCTGACTGTAGTGTCTACCCATCATTACCTTTTACCCTTTTGTTTTTGAATTACTTCATTTATTTATAAGTCTAGATAACTGATATCACGGATCTTGCTTCAGGGGAAAGCTGGTAGATGCCTACAGATTTCTGCACAAGAATAAGGACATGGAGCAAGGCTTCTCATGGTCTGGAAACCCGATTGGGAGGTAAGAAATTTATTTTATTCATCTTTATGTCACTCTCTTCAATAGTGTTAGCTATATGATGAGGCAATGCACTTTGAAGAATTTAAATTGTGTTTTTGTTTTTTTTGTCTAAACTGTCTTTTTGTAGATCCTTTAATCTCTCCCCTACTATAGTATTAGCTAAATGTGAATCTTTTTGTAGTTCCTCTATAATAGCTGTTAAAATATGTGGTGAGTTGCAAATATAAGGAACTAGTATTGAGAACTCATGCAACGTATGGAGATTAAATCATATAGAGCATAGCATGTACAATAGGATGAATATATTTCTGTGAAAGATAGGATGAATATATTTCTGTGAAAGATAGGATGAATATATTTTTGTGAAAGATAGGAGAATATTTTTCTTCATGTGTTTGAGTTACTTTTTACTCAGCAATATGTTTAATTTATAAACATGATAGATACAACGTTAATAAATGAACATGTGCAATTTACAAGAAAGTAATTAAGCTAACACAATTTCCTATGACGCACGAAATAATGAACTTTAGCTACTTGGAAAAAGAAGAATTAATATATTTTAATTTCCAACACTCCACTCCTTCTCAAGCTGGTGAGTAGGTATTCTCCATTCCCAGCTGATCACAATTCTTTAAAAAGTTGGGCAGCTCACTCTTTTGGTGAAGATATCCGCAAGTTGAGCTTTTGAAGGAGCATAAGAAGTGCAAATCAAACCGCAAGCAAGCTTCTCTTTGATAACATGTCTATCCACCTCAACGTGTTTTGTTCGATCATGTTGAATTGGATATTGAGCTATACTAATTGCTGACTTATTATCATAATAGAGCTTCATATGTCCATCTCATTAAATTTGCAAGTCTAATCTTCAACCAAAGTAATTCACAAATATCTTTTGTCATCGCTCAGAACTCAACTTCAGCACTTGACCGAGCCATAACATTATGCTTTTTACTCCAAGCTACAAGATTTTCTCCTAGGTATATACAATACCCTGCAGTGAATCTCTGATCAGTTGCTAAACTCACATAATCAACCTCAGTGTAAACCTTATGAATAGAACTCATTCCTTTTAAACAAAATCTCCTTTCCTGGAGTTCCCTTAAGAGTTAAGATATTGTAAAATTGCGTGAGCTGCAAGTAAATGAACTTCCTTTGGATTGTGCATAAGTTAACTAAACACACATCAAATGCAATATTTGGCCTTGTGTGGGAAAGGTAAATTAATTTCCCAACTAATCTTTGATACATTTCCTTATCCACAACTGCACCTTCCACATTACCCAACATATGGCTTGGATCTATAGGACTGCCCACAAGTTTACAAGCTAGTTTACCCATTTCCATGGGCAGATCTATGATACACTTTTCTTGAGATATGGAAATACCTTTTTTTAAGTGGCTCCCCTGAGTTCCTGAAAAATACTTCAGTGTCTCAAGGATTTTCATTTCAAACTATTTTGGTAAATGTTGAATCAAGATTTGTTGTTCCTTCCAATCATTTTCAGTCACAATGTTGTCATAACATATACCAACAACATTGTTACTCCCTGAAGTAGACTGTTTAATAGATAATGTATGATCTCCATTACTCTCTTTGTACCTTAAAGTTGTCATAGCCTTAGTAAACCTTCTAAAACCATGTCCAAGGTGATTGTTTCAATGCATATAACGTCTTCTGCAATTGAATAATATATTTATATTTATATTTCAAATGCAATCTTTGTAAACAAATTCTTTGAAGAATTTAAATTATGGTTTTGGTTTTTTGTATCTTAACCATTTTTCTTCTTGCACTTCTTCCTTTTACCGCTCCTCTGTATTAGTTGTTAAAATTGTTGGAGTGTTGCAAATATATGGAATTCATTTTAATTTAGCTGTCTATTTAAGTAAGACTCATTATAATTGACAAATCTAATTAAAATTGTTGGAGTGTTGCGAATATATGGAATTCATTTTAATTTAGCTGTCTATTTAAGTAAGACTCGATTATAATTGACAAATCTAATTGACGTCTTCAGCTTGTTAATCTTATGAGTGTTTTCTTTGAAGGTACCGTGGAAAACGAATGAGAATAGACTATTTTTTAGTTTCTGATAAACTTGAAGAAAAGATTGTTGCGTGTGACATGCACGGACAAGGGATAGAGTTAAAAGGTGAGTATTTTTTCATGTGTTCGTACTGGTCGCTTACTCAACAAAACTTGAAATTCTTTATAGAAATATGATTTTTATTGAAATTTGTTGATACTGGAGTATTTGCCAAGTTAAAAAACTGAAACCAGAGTTCATCTTGTGGTGATTGGTGCTGCTGGGTTGCATTTAGCCTGTTTAATGGCTTAGGCTATTGCAAAAATTAGCATATGCATTGGTTTCTCACGCCTCTAATGTTCTTATCATTTTCAATCACTTTTCATTGGCTTATGTTTCAGAAGTATAACCTTGTTATTGTCTCCGCAGGTTTCTATGGAAGTGATCATTGCCCAGTTACCTTGGAGCTCTCTCCTAGTTCCAACTCTCAAAATGAGGATTCAATATAAGTACTATTAGCTATTTATGTTACAAAGCATCTGTCAATTGTCATCATATTATTTCTCTTTTGGCTAGATGCTTACTGATTTGTTAATGAGAACTAGGAAACTATTTCTTGCTGTGTATCTCTTGCCTGAGTTAGCTGCATATATACTTGCAGAAATGTTGGTTTGATTTGGTTTTTAGTATTTTTTAAACATGAAACTAAATCTAACTAACTGTTTGGTTTGATTTGCGATTTATAATATATTTTTTCAAAAACTATATTTTATATTTATGTGTATTCTCCACTATCATTTTTTTTTTGTATTTTATAATATTATTATTTTTTAAATAATACATTTCATATAATTTATTTGATGTTCTATTTTTTCAAACAACTTACAAGTTGTTCTTAGTTCATAAGAACATTGACATGATTTTCATTGCGATATGAAATAAATTCATTATCAAATATAAAAGTCGAGACTTGACATCAAAAAGTTGAAAAGAGATTTAAAAGTTTGACATAAAACACAACAATAACAACAAACACTTTCAATAAACATAAATTAATGTTTCACGGCGTTGCGTTGTCTACCATGTGAAAACCCCCTTTTGGCTAGTTTTTCAATAGATTTGTGGGGATTATGAATCTCCACAAAATAACCTCCTATTTATTTTTATTATTCATTAAAAAAGATGTACCATTCATCATTATTTTTCGGGTGTTTATATTTTTCTGGGGTTAATAACCCCCGTTACATGCTTTGAAAAAAAACTATCGGAATCACATTCACTCATGTGTCCGTAGACAGCGTCATGTTTTACACCTCAAATACAAAAATTATTTAATAACAAGACTAGAAGAAATTTTATTGAAGAAAAAAAAATAAGAAAGATAAAATAATTATGAAAACTAACGAGAAGAATTTGAACACGAAGAAAACGACCATAACATATAATAACTGTTGAATGATTAGAATAAGTCAAATGCAGTGTAATTGGTTTTGAAGTGTTTTTGGAGAATAACTTATTTGAGAAGCTATTTTGGAAAAGCTGCCAGTATGCTGCAGGAAACCCTGTTTTGTTACTTTGTTTAGTGTTAGCAGGCACTATATATACATTTTGTAACATGTTGAATGAATTTAATGCCATATGATTTTTTACCCTCTCAATTAATCTCTATTCTCTCTAAACTTGATCTTCCCCAATCCTCTAATTTCACCAAAATTATCCATCATCTCCATTGATTCACATACAAGGTTTTGTGCTTGTTCTAACATTTGGCATCAAGAGCATTGGTTATTGATCCCAATCCGCTGCAACACCAACAATAGCTACCGTTTCCAATGATCGAATTCCCACAATCTCCCAATTCTTGATTCGAAGAACTACGACAAATGGGCGAAACAAATGAAGGTTCTGTTTGGTTATCAAGAGGTTCTTGAGATCGTCATCAATGGAGTTACACCATTAGGGGCAGATGCTACCGATGCTCGTAGGGCTACACACAAGGAAGAAAAGAAAAAGGATTACAAAGCCCTATTCTTGATTCACTCTTGTGTTGATAACGACAATTTCGAGAAGGTTGGTGATTGTGAATCCGCGAAGCAAGCATGGGAAATCTTGGAGAAAGCGTATGCCGGTGCCGTCAAAGCGAAGGTGGTAAGGTTACAAACTTACAAACGTCAATTCGAGTTAACGCAAATGGAGGACAAAGAAACGATCAACAATTACATAACGCGCATTACCCGGTTAGTCAACCAAATCAAGTCATGTGGCGAAACGATCCTTGAGCAGAATGTTGTATCGAAAGTGTTGCGTTCGTTAACATCACGTTTCGATAACATTGTTGTGGCTATTGAGGAGTCAAAGGATCTAACAACTTTGAGTAAAGATGAGTTGCAAAGTTCGTTAGAGGCGCATGAACAAAGGATGGATGAGAGAAGTGCCGACAAAGCCAAAGCGGAGATCGCTTTGCAAGCGCGTTTACATGAGAAGAACAAGAGATCGAAAGGGAACTGGACTTCAAAAAATAAGAAGAATTTTGGTGGAAAAGATCCACAAAATTCAAAGGGTGAAGGAAGCTCCAAAGATGGTAATCAAAGCGCCCACAAACCGTTTGACAAAAGTTCTGTGAAGTGTTATAATTGTCAAAAGCTTGGGCATTTTGCGAAAGAATGTCGCTCAAAACGCAAGGAAAAGGATGCGGATGAGGCGAAGGTTGCTAGGGAAGAGGTAGATGATGAAGATACCCTTCTTGTGATGATTACGGAAGAGAATTATGGCATTGTTGATGTTCCGGGCAGCAGCTACTGTGATGATAGTGTGTGGGACAACAGCTGTACTGTTTTGGAAAGTGGTGAAAAAATGTGTTCGGATCGAAATGCATTAGTTACCGTGCGTGAGGGAGTCCAAATTAAAGATGAATGGTACTTGGATTCCGGTTGTTCAACACATATGACGGGTCGAAAGGATTGGTTTGTGCAAATCAATCAAGCGACAAAGAGTAAAGTCAAGTTTGCCGACGACACTACTTTAAGCGCCAAAGTGGTAGGAGATGTTTTGATCGGAAGAAAGAATGGTGGACACTCTAGGATCAAAGATGTCTTGTACATACCGGGAATTAAGTGCAATCTTTTAAGCATTGGCCAATTGCTTGAAAGAGGGTACTTAATTCGATTGGAGAATAAGATGTTACGCGTTTTAGATTCAAATGATGTGTTGATTCTAAAAGCACCGATGGCTGCCAATAGAACTTTTAAGGTTGAGTTAAAGGTTATGGAACATCGTTGTTTAGCTACCGCGGCAAGTAGAGATGAGTGGTTATGGCATTACCGTCTTGGTCACCTAAACTTTAGGGATCTTAAAATGTTGCAACAAAGTGAAATCGTAACGGGGCTGCCACATATTAGTGTTCCGACAGAATTATGTGAGGAATGTGTGAAGAGTAAGCAACACAAGAATGTGTTTAGCAAGGATGCGGGTCGAAGAACCAAAGGCTTACTTGAGGTGGTGTATTCCGATGTTTGTGGACCGATGCAAGTAGAGACTTATGGTGGCAATCGATATTTTGTTACGTTTATTGACGATTTTAGTAGGAAGCTTTGGACTTATCTTATCAAGAGAAAGGATGAGGTATTTGGAGTGTTCAAGAGTTTCAAATCCATGGTGGAGCGTCAAAGCGGCCGGAAGCTCAAAATTCTCAAAACGGATGGTGGAGGTGAATATACCTCTAGTGAATTTGGGAAGTTTTGTGATCTTGAGGGTATTGTGCGTGAGGTGGTGCCTCCATATACGCCTCAACAAAACGGGGCTGCCGAGAGGAAAAATCGTACAATAATGAACATGGTGCGTAGCATGCTTTGTGGGAAGAAATTACCTAAAGAATTGTGGGGTGAGGCCGTATCTACAGCCACCTACTTGTTGAATAGGTGTTCTACTAAGAAGCTGGAGAAAATCACACCGGAAGAGGTTTGGAGTGGTTTCAAACCGAGTGTGGTTCATTTGCGTGTTTTTGGATCGATTGCATATCGTCATGTACCAAATCAACTTAGAAAGAAGTTGGATGATAAAGGTGAGAAGTTGATATTTGTTGGATATCACTCTACTGGTGGTTACAAGCTGTTTGATGAGAAGAATCGGAAAATCGTGATAAGCCGGGACGTGACTTTTGATGAAATCAAAAGTGCAGAAACAGCAGCAGAAAATCAGCAGCAGCAGTTTTTTGAAATCTCTGATCCGGAGTTGTCTGATGCCGCTGTACCAGCACCTACAGCAGCTGAAAACAATGTTGTGAATGAGGGTAGACCAACAAGGCATAGAGGTATGCCTCAAAGACTCCGAGATTGTGAACTGTTCCGAGATAGTGAGATCAACAATGATGGTGATCTTATTCATTTCGCTTTAATGGCCGAATCCGAACCGGTAAATACGGAGGAGGCATTAAGCGATCCAAAATGGATGTGTGCAATGAAGGAAGAGTTGAAATCGATTGAGAAGAACAATACTTGGGTGTTGGTTGATTTACCGAAAGGTAAAAAGGCGATTGGTGTGAAATGGGTTTACAAAGTAAAAGCAAATCCGAAAGGCAAGATAATCAAGCATAAGGCTCGATTGGTAGCAAAGGGATTTTTGCAAAAAGAAGGCATAGACTTTGATGAGGTATTCGCACCGGTTGCAAGGCATGAAACCATCCGGTTAGTTGTTGCGATTGCAAATAACAACAGCTGGTCGTTATATCAAATGGACGTCAAATCGGCGTTTTTGAATGGTCCATTGGATGAGGAAGTGTATGTTGGACAGCCACCTGGTTTTGTGATACAAAATCAAGAGGAAAGGGTCTACAAATTAAGGAAGGCACTCTATGGTTTGAAACAAGCTCCAAGAGCTTGGAACAAACGCATAGATGTTTTTCTTATCAACATTGGTTTCAAGAAGTGCGTATCCGAACACGGTGTGTATGTGAAGTCGAATAAAAGCAAGGGAGTAATCATACTTTGTCTTTATGTGGACGATTTGTTGATTACGGGCAGTTGTGAAAAGTACATTTCAAAGTTCAAAGAAGAGCTTATGGGGGAGTTTGAAATGAGTGATCTTGGCTCTATGAAATACTTCTTAGGTATAGAGTTCCAAAAAACAAAGTTGGGACTGCTCATGCATCAAAGAAGGTATGCAATGGAGATTTTGAAGAGGTGTGATATGGAGCATTGTAATGCTGCCACAACACCAGCCGAGGCACGTTTACAGCTGTCCAATAGTGAAGATGAGCAAGATGTGGATCCTACTCAATACCGGAGATTGATAGGATCATTGCGTTACTTATGCAATACGCGGCCAGATTTAGCGTTTAGTGTCGGTATTGCAAGTAGGTTCATGGAGAGGCCGAAGGTATCACACTTGGCAGCGGTTAAGAGGATCCTTAGATATGTGAAAGGTACTCTTGGCTGTGGGATTTTATTTCCTGCAAGTGACATGGGCAAAAGTTGCGAATTACTCGGATACACCGACTCCAATTGGTGCGGAG